TGCCAATCAGCGTTTGTTTTAAAATATCCTGTTCCTCTAAATGAATGAAGCAGTCTCAGTGTGAGGTATGAGTGAGGCTGTTTTTTTAAATGGTGGAGTGAATTATGTGATTCCGCTGATCTGTGATGGTCTTCATTAGACACAGACTTTTTTAGACACAGATGAGGCAAAATGCAAGACACAGAATTCACCGGGAGCTCTCATGATGTCTCCCAAGATCAATTGCCAAGCTTGCAACGTAAGGAAAAAGAAATCGGTCAAGGAAAAAAAAAAAAGAAGTGATAAAATCTGCTGTATCAATTGAATCACGATGTTTTACTTTCTCTATTTCTCTGTCTCTACTCTCTTTCTTCCTCTGTCCCTTTTTGTCTTTTATTTTCCCCCCAGCATCAACAGAGGGCATAAAATATTTAAGGATTTAACCTGCTGATAGGTATCAGCATTTATCTGCATTTCCCTTCAAGCTGGATATTGTCTAACCAACATTTTCTATTTATTTACATATTTATTTACCATCATAAGGGGCATGGAAAGTGTCTCAGAATCTGGAAAGTGTGGCTAAATTGTATTTTCCATGCTCTGTTCCTCTGTGATTCTTGCTCTTTGCGATTCCCATTATTTATGGCTCTAAGAGTTACCTGAAAATACATTTTTCTGATCAGCCCACGGTTCCTCACCTGTCTGCTTTCTTCTGGCTTTCACACTATGTTGGTGGACTGGTGACAAGGTCAGTGAGTAAAGACATCCTTGGGCAAGAAGGGCTCTCCTGGGTGAAGGAGAGCGATGTGGAGAGGCAGGCTGGCTTGGAGCTCAGCTCTTCTGACTTTTGGCCGAATGGGCCCATGTTGTATTGACTACTAGATTATTAGCTTCTTGAAGTCAAGGACAATGCCATTCATTCATACCCATTGCACTTAGCATGATGGCTGACATGCAAAACATATGCAATGAATGAATGAATGAATGAATGAATAGTAAATAAATAAATAAACAAACCTTTGGCATTCTACAAATGCTCAGTACCAAGTGAATGCTGATACTTTCACAAGTCTTTCTTTTTTTTTTACTTTCACAAGTCTTTATTGGGCAGAATTTACTACCTCCTAAAATGTATTAGTCTTGACTACGTGATTTATTTTGTAATATTTATATAAGATTAATATTACATTTGATATAGTAACAACAGTGATTTATTCATTCATTTATCTATTCCTGTATTCTGACGCAGACTGAGTGCTGCTCTATGGCGGGCTTTATATTGGGGTAAAGGAGATGACTTTCCATTTGTAATCATTTCCTCTCATGTGCAGGGAATTGCACTAACGTATCACTCCCGGGTCTTCTCTGTCCCTCACTCACTCCTCCCTAGGAAGGGGGAGTGGTATAATCTGATAAGTTACTTTAGAGTGCCTCAGTTGTACTCAGGGTATTTAGAGCAAATAAAGATGCTCTATGGAGCTTCTGAAAGGTCCCCAAAGATCGGAGCAGATCCGCCAATGGTTTTGGAATAAAGCCGTGCTCACATTTGTTAATACCTATTCTCCTTTTGAGAAAAACCCTTTGAGTTGCTCCTGAGTCCCAGGAGTGACTAAACATTTGACCAGCGTTAACAAGTAGGAGCTACCCATCAAAAACTGGCTGTTATCTGATATACTAAGAAAAAAAGCTGGATGAGTGCAGAAGCAATCCATCATTATGAGGAAATGATAGATACGAGCCTCAGCTGGAGCCGGTCAGGAAGATGCAGTGAATTGCCTGAGCAGGTAGCTTAGGCTCCTGACACCTATCCTCGTGTATCATTGCCTCTCCCCACAGACCTCTGGCTCAAGGATAGTTCCCTATGAGAAGTGAATCTTGATTACAGAGTTCCAGCTCCTGGTGATGATGAAGTAGGTCAGTTGCACTAAACTTCCTACAGGTAACAATGATACAATATGAACAAAAAAAGTATGTATATAAAACAGCTATTTGATCGCACTAGAGACCAACCAAAAGGAGGCAAAAACTTCAGAGAAGGAAGAAAGAGTTCAGGGCTGGCAGAAGAGCCGGAACGGTAGGAGAGAAATCCTGGAAGGGAATGAGATCCCAAATCTGAATAGCAAAGTTTCCCCAATCCTTGGCTGGTTGCTAAACTATGCATGGATTGAGGGGAGGGGACCCCAGTGCGCCCCATGAAAAAGCTGGAAGCTGGAGATTTCAGCTTCTGCAAACTACAAAGGCAGACAGTTTGGAATTTGAAGGCAGGCTCGTTAACTGCTTACTGGACTAAAAATCACAGAACGTGGTATCTAGACATATCCCTTAATGTGTCCAGTGTCTAACGTGACGTTTAGTGAGGCAAGGAAATGTGAACCATGGTCTAGAAAAAAACCGTCAGTGGAAGTTAAGGTGAGGGTGAGGGTCAGGGTTGGGCTTGGGTCGTCGGGTAAGTCATGATGTATTTTTTTATGTTTTTCAATGCAAAAATGCATCATGACTTTCCCAATATATATTACACACCTATATCTATAGATATGTAATATCTATAGATATTTCTGTCTCTCCAAGATGAGAAGAGAGATGATATTTTTATACTTCACTCAGACTGGTAAAATGATACCATGTCACAGTCTACTGGTGGTATCATTTTTATCAGTCTGAATAAAGTATAGAAACATCATCTCCCTTTTTTGTCCCTTGGATATTTACCTGTTATCTTTGTTATTAATTTCCATTGGATATCATTGTGGTCAGAGAATGCATTCTGTATGATCTCAATTTTTTTTTGTTTTTAAGTTTGTTGAGATTTGTTTCATGGCCCAGGATGTGACCTATTTTGGTAAATGTTCTGTGTGTACTGGAAAAGAATGTGTAATGTGCTCTTGTTGGGTGGAACGCTCTATAAATATCAATTAGATTCTGTTGATTAATGGTGTTACTGAATTCTTCTATATCCTTGCTGATTTTCTGTCTGGCTCTACCAACTTTTGAAAGAAGGGTGTTGAAGTATCTACTACCTTTTTGGATTTGTCTATTTCTTCTATCAGTTTTATCAGTTTTTGTTTTTCATATTTTACAATTCTGTTGTTTAGTCCATACACTTTAGGATGGCTGTGTCTTCTTGGTCAATTGACCTTTTTCTCACTGTGAAATGTCCCTCTCTGTCTATAATCACTTTATTTGTTCTAAAATCTACTTTATCATATATTGCTTTCTTTAAGGTTAAGGTTTGTATGATATATCTTTTTTAAAAATCCTTTTACTAATTATGTTTGAAGTGAGTTTGTTTTAGATGGCATACTAGATGGCATGTTTTTTTATCTACTTTACTAACTGTCTTTTAATTGATATATTTTTATCATTTAAATTTTATGTGATTATTGATATGTTAGGGCTTAAGTCTGTCATTTTTCTTTTGGTTTTCTGGTTGTTTTTCTCAGTTTTTCATTTTTGGTTTCTTTTCTTTTCTGTGGACTACTTGGATATCTTTTAGAATTTCATTTTGATTTGTAATGTTTTTGAGTGTAGGCCTTTGTGTAGATCTTTTAGTGGTTTCTCTAGGTATTTTATGTATATCATACTATATAGCTTATCACAGTCTATCTTAGTTGGAGAGCTTGGACTCTAGACTTAGAGGTTTAGACTTCTTTTGAGGGGAACTAATATTTTATAGTTTTATTATCTTTTAATTCTTTGTGATATCAGTAAGTCAGTTTTCATAGACTCACTTGACAGATGAGAATCCCTGGGTTCAGTGAGTTCAAATGACTGGTCTAAGATTACCCAATTTGTTAATAGCACTAAGAAAGCAGGTAATAAGATTTTTGAGTGGATGAGTGAGTCAGCACCAAATTTCTGATTTGTTGAGCAACAGAGGTCTGATATATTTCATACCTTTAGTCAGAGAAAGTAGGGGCCCTTCCATTTTGCCAAAATTGCAGACGCTCTGCCACTTTTCATAAATAACTCTCAGGATACCTTGACAAGCACAATGGTTTAATGGAAAATTATTTACCAGTGCTTTCTCCTCTTCTGTAGATGTTTAGATGTATTTTATAAGGTCTTTGACATTTAGAAACATGAAAAGCACTCTCTAATTTTGTGCTAATGTGATACCAGCATGTCTCAGCAGTAACCAAATATAGACAATGACAGGAGCTGAGCTCAAGGTAAAGTGCATCGTCACCTCTAGACCCATTCCCAAGGGATGCAGTTTCTCTAAAGTAAATTTCACAAGTTGGAAGGGCTGAGATTTCAGGCTCCTGAAAGACCATATATTGTAGACTCCTAGATGAGACCCTCCATTTCACTATCACTTGTACTTCTGGGAAACATTTAAAGCCAGCAATTCCCATCAAGTCTTCCTGTTAGTGGCATACTCTGCCTCTTATAAGAGACAAGCATGGGGCCCAGGAAAAAGGAAGCATGAGGCAGTGTTTTGATTTTCTTATCTCCAGTGAGCCTTACCCTGATTTCTCCTTGTCTACCTTCTCCATTGGTCATTGTCCTTGCCCCTCCTCTAAATCTGCAGCTCCAAAACCCACTTTGCATCTTCTACTTTCAGTTCTTTTACTCCCCCCCCCTCGGTCCTCTGTCATGTAGACCTCCAGACCCTGGTTCCTCTGTCTTCTTTTAGTTATCACCGTACTTCTTGCTTTACATCCCTTGCTACCCAGCTTAGCTCAATTATGTTCTCCCTGTCCAGCATTTCACTCATGTTTTAATAAATAGCATTTAATTGGTCCCTTGCCTGTATTGCAAAAACAAACCTTGCACCAATTTAACACCCTCATTTCTCATTTCAGTTGCTAGATAGATGAATTCTGATAGAGAAATAAAGCTCCCAGGGATATTTGATTTCATTACAAATTTAGAGTCTCCATTGGCCTTTGGTGCTTTCAGCCAATGCTTCTACATTTCTGTATGGTTCACACCATCTTCCATTACTTCAGCAACTATTTTAAATTTTCACTTTTTTGCTCAAACCTCCAACTTACTACCACTCCTGTTACTCTTGGCAGATGACTGCACATTCAACTTCACTAAGAAAAAAGAATCAAGGCCAAAGGTGAGATTTTTTTTTTAAATCAGTTTCATTCTCTGGCATCTGTATACTTATCTTTGTGTACATCCATGCTCTCTTCTCCTCTTTCTTATCTTGGTGAAATTCCCTTTGATCCAGGTACCCCATTAAAATGTATTCTGGATCTCATGGCATGCTTCTTCCTTAGGAACCTTCTACTCTACCAGGTACCCCCTTTTTCATCTGTATTTTATGGTTTTCTCATTTTCCTTTCAGAACAGAAATACACACATATTGGAAAACAAGTAAGCAAGCAAACAAACATGAAAACCATAGCTCTGGTTACCACTTATGTTCTTACTTTTGCTTCTTAACCAGCTTTGAAAACTGAATCAACCTTTAAATACTTCATTTTTCTTTTAACTTCCCTTCTATTGACTTACCAACTATAATTTGGATTCTGTCTCTGCCATCCCACCAAAATCTTCTTTCTATAGACACCCATGACCTAAGGATTACACCCCCATTCCCAGCAATTTATTCTTTTCTTTTTTTCCTTACTTTCTATTTCTGTTGCATGTGGAAATATTGATAGCTCCTTTATTCTTAATTAAATCAAATCAATTTATTTATAAATAGGTAATAAATTCACATAGTTAAAAATTCATAAGTGCTACAAGGGAAAGCAATAAAAATCCTGTCATTTACATCTCATTCCTGGGGGCAACCAGTGTTAGAAGTTTTGTGAGCCGTTTTGACATACAGAAGCAAAATTGCATACTTATACACATATGTAATATGCACACTCACACATAGTTCCCTGTTTTAAAAAATATAAACATCTGCTAACGTAGCACTATACATTTGATGCAAGAGCATGTACATTAGTCATTTGGAGAGATATTCAAAAAACCCTTCAAGAAGGTAGTCCAGTTGGTAATGCCACCAGCAATTTACACGTGCCTACTTTCTCACACTGCTGCTAAAACAGTGTTATCAAAAATTTTAATTTTGCCTATGATAGGTGAAATTTGCATCTCAGTGTACTTGTAATTTGTACTCAATGAAACCAAGGATACAGCGTAATGTTGAGTGTTTGATTTTACATGGCTCCTTCAAGTAATATTTTGTAATCTTTTATTTCTTAAGCTTTAGTGGAGTTTCTCATGAATTAACAAATATTTCAGGTAAGAAACATGCAGTTTAGCAATTTACTTCCATTCTTCCTTAGGTTCTTCTTATTTCTCTATGAAAATCAGATAAAATTAAATATAATGCTTTTATTCAAAATAACACTCCTATTATGAACACACTATTTTCTTAAATACAGCCTATCAATGTATCTGTGAGTTATTGTCTATATTTTATTTCTTTCTATTAATTTATATTAGAGTGATGGCTAGGTTGGTTTTCATCAAGTGTTGGCAATGCTTCTTTCTAGGTGATGTTAGGTAACTCGTTTTTACTAACTGTTTGCTATGGATTGAATGTTTGTGTATCCCCCCAAATTCATGTGTTGAGATCATGATCTCCCATGTGATAGTATTTGGAGGTGGAGCCATTGGGAGGTGACTAGTTCATGTGGGTGGAGCCCCTATCAAGGGATTAGTGTCCTTATGAGAAAAGAAAGAGAGCTAGTCCTTTCTTTCTTTCTGCCATGTGAAGATACAAGGAAAAGGTGTCTCTGTGAACCAGGAAGAGGGATCTCTCTAGAAACCCACCATGCTGGCTCACTGATCTTGGGCTTCCAGCCTCCAGAACTACGAGAAATACATTTCTGTTGTTTATAAGCTACCCAGTCTGTAGTACTTTGTTATAGCAGCCTGAAGGGGCGAAGCCACTCCTTTATACATATGTGGTATGACTTGTATTTTTCATAATGAGCATGTACTTTTGTTTTTTAAAAGACTAAAGTTACTATTCTCAGAAGACATGATGAATTTATCTGTCTAACAAATATTTTTTGGGCAGTGACTTTAGAGAGAGCACTGTGTTAGTTGCTATGGATGTCTGGTTTTCTAAGAGAATGGCCCTCCCATGATGTGAACACATGGTGCTTTTCTGCATTTACACCTGTGGGTAGAACTTTTCAGGTTATGGGGTAGCAATCCATGTTCATGACAATGGTCTTGAAACCTCAAGAAACAAATAACAATTTATGATTTGTGAATAAGTTTGCAGATACTTTTTTGCATCTGTCTCCTCTATTAGCTTTGTGACATGTGCAGTTTTTAATTATGCCAGCAAGTCACTGCTCAGAGACCTCCTGCGATTTGCTTAGGGTCCCCCAGCTACTAGGCAAAGCCAGGCCAAAGCCCCATACTTTCTTATTCCAAATACTGTGTTCTTTTCTTTTCCTCCCTCCCTCCCTCCCTCTCTCCCTTCTTCCTTCCTTTCTTTCTTCCTTTCTTTTTTTGAGTTTCAGGTTGTTTTTCATTACAATATTCTTTCTTTCTTTAAAATTACACCTCTATCAGCCTATGCTTACTTAAAGAGAAGATATCTAATATAATTTAGTATTTTTCTCCCTGATGACTTAGCGTCATCATTAAGTATAGTATGGTGCCTTCATGTAATGATGCCTTTAGGAACTCTGAGGACAGGTATTATTATTATTATTATTATTATTAATTAATTAATTAAAATGTATTGGGGTGACAATGGTCAACAAAACTACATAGGTTTCAAGTGTACAGTTCTGTAATATATCATCTATATATTGCATAACACTTTGTTTCAGTACATGGAGTAGTGTGTGGTCCATTTGAAAGACTTGCATGAAAATATAAAAATTATTGCTAAGAAGAAAGGTTATGTTTCAGTTTCCTTAACAACACATTTATGCTGAAGACCTCCTTTCTGTCATAAGTTGAGTTTTATTATTATTGTTGTTATTGTCAACCTAGGGCTTTCTGAGTATTATCTCATTGAATTCACACAACCCGATGAGGAAGCCAATAGGACTGGCCCCATATTACAGACAAAGAAGCTAAGAGTTGGAGAACTCAAGGTCAGAGAAAGGGGACATGCCAGAGCTGGGATTAAAGTCCCAGGAATCGTACTCTGGTACTCACATCTTAATCACTGTTTTTCTGTCCCCAGCTCAGAAAGGGGTCATTCCTCATTCAAGGTCACACCTGCAACTGGTTCAAAAAAAGGCATAATCACCTCATTCCTTTTAATTCTGTGGCTCTTTCCAACCCACTCTATTGGCTGGATTTGGGAACACATTCCCGATGCTGGCCCTTAGCCTTCTCCTGGCTAAACAGCTCAAAATACTTGGATCTTCTATTCTAGGAGCTGTTTTCCCTATCTCTAATAATTTGTCCTGGACTTTCTCATCACTTGAGTGGCAGTGGCTGAAACTGGGCCAAACCTGATACCTCTGTACTGGTTTGACCTCTGGAGGAATGCTTGCTGCAGGGTCAGGTATCCTCACACTGCTTGGTTCCTGCTGCCTCCCAGCATCATAGCACCTTCTATTAGGGAGGTACTGATTTGTAGTACTTCCTAGCCTCTAGGCACAGATTAAATGCAATTACACAATTTATTACTGTATAATCATTATATACCTGGGGCTTTCCAAACAATAAACCTTAAATTGCATTCCCCAAAGGTCAAAAGCAATTTCTCTTATCCTTGCTGAGTGCTTAATGACTTTATACAGAATGGAATGCATCCATATGAGGAATAAGTGCATATGGAAAATAATAGGTTATTTTGAAATGTGAACTGATTCAATTCCTGATTTAAAAAAATCCCACCATGTCCTTGGATTTATGAGAAGCCTGCTAAAGGGAGACATCATGCTGAACAACAGTAGTTGTATTCATTTTATAATCAAGGTTAGATCACCTAATTTAACATGCCCATGTGTCTTAGTTAGCTTGGGCTGCTATAACAAAGTACCACAGAATGAGTGGTTAAGCAACAGACACGTATTTCTCATAGCTCTGGAGTCTGGAAGTTCAGGATCAAGGTTCTGGATGATATGGTTCCGGGCGACTCCCTTTTCCTGGGTGCAGATGGCCGCCTTTCTGCTGTGCCCTCACATGGTGCATAAAGCGAGCGAGCTCTGGTTTCTCTTCCTCTTCTTATAAGGACACTAATCCCAACATGAGGGCCCCACCTTCATGAGCTCATCTAAACCAAATTGCCCCCCAAAGGTCCCACCTGTGATTACCATCACACTGGGGATCAGGGCTTCCACATATGAATTTTGGGAGGACACAGGCGTTCATTCCATGATACCTTGGAGAAGGTTAGGAAACTGAGGCCCAGCTAGTTGAAACGGCCTGAAGGAAGGAAGTTCAATTACAGACAGTTGCCTTACTTGTAGTTACAGCAGGCTGTGTTTCTCCCAGGAAGGTAGAGGGATGGAGGAGAGGATTATCAAAGAGAGATCCTATCCTGAAAGAGAAATAATGGATTCAGAACAAGATGGAATTATACCTGGGTTTCCTCAGGCCTCCGGCTGGAGGAAGCCTTAGGGTAGAAAGGCAGATACCCCTTTGGCAGTCACTGTGAAAACACTTTTTGCTCTCAACCTCTGTGCAACCACAGAATCATTTTTAACCCAATTCTCTAATTATTATTATATAACACTCAGGTACAGGAGGTGGCATTCACTTGCACTTGGGTCCCAGGTTGAGTAATGAAACATGTGTTTCTGGATCACCCCCATACACAATTACTATGTGTAAGCACTTGCTCCAAATTCTCCCCTCCTGGTTGCTTGGAGGGCTGGCTACACTGGCTTCCTGCATTTGTTTTTGGATGGCCACGCCTGGCTTTATGCCCCTCACCTCAGGGCCTCCCAGCTTTCTGAGCATCATATGCTCTCACTGCCAGCTTTGAGGAAGTAAAATGCTCATGCCCTTTGCATGAGTCACTGCCCTCATTACACCCTCACATGCTCCGAGAGCAAACCTACTCAAGTGATAGAAGAACTCTTTGCACCCCCACCACCTTTGTTTCTGAGTGAACAATAAAAGGATGAACAATTGATATACACAACAACATAGATGAGTC